CGTTTGTAGGCAAATTAGCTATAATTTTGCGCTGAAGTTGCTAGAGGGCCAGACCATTATAAATAGGGAAGCAGGTTGTTTACCACGACAGTAGAAGTGATTTTTTCTGAAGATATGGGTAAACAACGCGATTTAACAGCCTTTGAACGTGGGATGATTGTTGGCGCTCGGAGCCATGGAGCGAGTATCAGCAAAACAGCAGAGTTCGTTAAATGTTCAAGAGCAGCTGTTGTTAAAGTGTTTGAAGACTGGACTGTCAGCCGAAAATCTGGGTCTGAACGTGCGAATTGTGGCCGTCAGCGACTTGTCAATGTTAGGGCAGAACGGAGAGTGGCAAGACTGGTACAAGACAACAGAAGGGCAACATCAGAGTAAGAACATAAGAATTATGGGACACCGGCACTCCAAATCAGGTGAAGATAACGCCCTTTACTGATGTATGAGCAACATATCACACAATGCAAAATTTCGGGGTCACGCAGGATCCCCTTCCTCATGCAAACCATGTGATGACATGGGAAGGGGATCCTGCATGACTCTGAAACGTTGCATCCGTGTGATATGTTGCTCATACGTCAATAAAGGACGTGATCTTCACCTGATTTGGGCTGTCAGTGTCCCATAATTATATGTATGTGACGTGCAACAAGATCCTGCAAAGACATGGCCCAGCAAAGTATTTCCTTCATTTGTTGCCCAAACACTTAGGCCCCGTTCACACTGAGCGATTTTTGCAGCGATATCGCTCATATTTCCACGCGATATCGCTCTATGTAGCTTCTCCAATCCATTTCAATGGAGCTGTTCACATCTCGTCGCTCAATATCGCTTGTAGCTCGTCGCTGTAGCTTGTCGCTCCTACATGACCCTTTTTTCGAGTGATATTGCCCCTGATTGCATACAGCCCAATAGGAAAAAGTTGCGCGACACGTCGCTCAATATCGCGCGATTTTCATGTCGCTCAGTGTGAATGGGGCCTTATAGTCATTAAAGCCCCGTTCACATTGAGCGATTTATCGCGCGGTAATTCCCGCGACATCGTGGCAAATTACCGCGCGATATCGCGCTCCAATGCATTTCAATGGGGCAAAGGGCCCTGCTGTCGCGGGTCGCTACAGCAGGACCCTTTTTGGAGCGGATTTAGCCGCGATTCAAGCTTGCTCAATGCAAGCTTGAACGCGATGTCGCGCGGCAAATCTCACGATGTCGTGCAATATGCAAATCGCGCAATTTGCATATCGCGCAGTGGGAACGGGGCCTTAGGGGAATTTATCAAAACTGGAGCAGACAAAAGCTGGAGATGTGCATGGCAGCCAATCAGCATCCACCTTTCATTTTCAAATCTTAACTGAACAAACTGGAGAAGCTGATTGGTTGCCGTAGGCAACTGCTCCAGATTATGTCTACTCCGGTTTTGATAAATTCCTCCCATCATGATTCTGAACAGCTCTGCTTCCCTGAACTTCCTGTTCAGTATAAGATCACAAGGGATAGAGCAGTCTCCAGGAGCTGTTCATCTACTAGCTGGGAGAAGAGAGGACACGGAGTGACTTACCTTGCTGTGTCTGTGAACAGATATCCCATTGCACACCAGACCGGAATCCCACCATGTAGAATGATGTTGGAATGACGTGCAGTTGGCGCTGCACAAATTCAAAACGTAGAGGAGATAGTCGCCCGCACACCAAGGTCCAATGCATCCTTTTATTGACGGCAGATAGACGTGGCATCACAAGTATGAGCAACACTTTGGAACATATCGAGGGCCCTTCATCAGGCACGTAACATAGCGACATGTGGCTCATATTTGTGATGCCATGTGCCTCTGCCTTCAATAAAAGGACGTACTGAAGCATGGGACCTTGGTGTGCGAGCGTCTATCTTCTCTGTGTCAGTGGAGACACACACAGCTTACTAGCACACACGAGTGTGGCTCCATAGGACCCTGCAAGAGAAAAGAGCCACCCTAACACAGGATATCAGGGCCAGTGCTCAGGGGACCAGCTGATTCTGCAAGAAACTAACTTTTATACATCCTGGAGCAGCATCCATTGTAAGTGATTTCATCAGCATCTGAAACAGCCGACACACATTTGGACTTTAGAATGACTTGTAGCAGTTAGAAGAGATTATCTGCGTTCTGTGGTCGGCTTTTTTTTAATGTAGTTGTAAAATGAATGAGATCCACAAACCGTCAGGCCCCATTCACACTGCGCAATTCGCAAATCGCGCGTTTGTCACGCGATTTGCATTTTGCGCGATATCGCGCAAAGGCTTGCATTGAGCAAGCTGGAATCGCGGCAAATTCCGCTCCAAAAAGGGTCCTGCTGTAGCGACACACGACCCGCGACAGCAGGACCCTTTGCCCCATTGCAAAGCATTGAAGAGCGATATCGCGTGGTAAATAGCCGCGATATTGCGGGAATTACCGCGCGATAAATCGCTTAATGTGAAAGGGGCCTAAGAGAGAAGAGGATAACGATTGTCATGGGGGAGACGAACAGCGCGGGAAAGTGAACTAGGCTGATGATGAGCCGACATCGCTGATCAAGTCTCCAGGACGGTGATGAGCCGACATCGCTGATCAAGTCTCCAGGACGGTGATGAGCCGACATCGCTGATCAAAGTCTCCAGGACAGTGATGAGCCGACATCGCTGATCAAGTCTCCAGGACAGTGATGAGCCGACATCGCTGATCAAGTCTCTAGGACAGTGATGAGCCGACATCGCTGATCAAGTCTCTAGGACAGTGATGAGCCGACATGGCTGATCAAGTCTCCAGGACGGTGATGAGCCGACATGGCTGATCAAAGTCTCCAGGACGGTGATGAGCCGACATCGCTGATCAAGTCTCCAGGACGGTGATGAGCCGACATCGCTGATCAAAGTCTCCAGGACGGTGATGAGCCGACATCGCTGATCAAAGTCTCCAGGACGGTGATGAGCCGACATCGCTGATCAAAGTCTCCAGGACGGTGATGAGCCGACATCGCTGATCAAAGTCTCCAGGACGGTGATGAGCCGACATCGCTGATCAAAGTCTCCAGGACGGTGATGAGCCGACATCGCTGATCAAAGTCTCCAGGACGGTGATGAGCCGACATCGCTGATCAAAGTCTCAAGGACGGTGATGAGAATAGAACACGTGAATATATAACAGGGTTACTCACAGAAAGGTGAAGAGTTTGGAGAAGTGAACATTCTAGGACAACATAGCTGATTTGAAAAAAATTCTCCAATTCCGCACAATTTCCAGTTCAGCTATGTTGTCCTAGATTGTTCACTTCTCCAAACTGTGAGTAACCCTGTGAGTAGGAGTGAAGGGCCAGCTCCGAGTGAGAGGATTCCTGTATATGACATTGAGCACTTCTGGCATCCAGGAGTGCGCTTTATTGATTGGGAGTTCTATCACAAACATTGCTTGCAGACATTAAGCTGCATACATTCTGCCCTTTTCTCCTGGTCAGGGTTGGGGAACCCCAGCCCTCCAGCTGTTGTGGAACTACAAGTCCCATGAGACACTGCAAGACTGACAGCCACAGGCATGACTCCCAGATGCATGATGGGATTTGTAGTTTAAGAACAGCTGGCATTCCGAGGTGTCCTACCCCTGATCTATTCCTTACATTCATTGGATTTAGCAGTTTTCAATCATGGAGGTTCAGCATCACATGTGTTACCTGGGGTAGTCTACAAGCACATACTGTCTATCTAGGACAGCGGTTCTCAACCTGTGGGTCGGGACCCCTTCGGGGGTCGAATGACTATTTGCCAGGGGTCGCCCTGGAGTCTCCTGCTATTAGATAGCTGCTCCCGGTCGCCTGGGAGAGAAACACGTTCTCCCGAGCAGAGTAAACCTTTTTTGTCTGACATTGGGGGCCGTAGGTCAGGGGGAAAAAACAACCACCCTTGGAATGCATAGCTAGATTCCTATTGGCTATTTCACTTTGCAATAGCCAATAGCAAACTAGCTATTGCACCCGCCCTCTGCCAATCAGCAGAGGGGGACCTGAAGTTCTCCATCAGGTCCCCACTACTGATTGACAGCAGTAGAGGGCGGGTGCCCTAGCTAGTTTGCTATTGCAAAGTGATATAGCCAATAGGAATCTAGCTATGCATTCCTAGGGTGTTTTTTTTATTCTGATGGCATACACCAGCGGTTCTCAACCTGTGGGTCGCTGTGTGATTTCTGCTGTGCTAGATGAGAGTCCTCCTCAGCCCTCACCTAGTGCAGCAGTGTCAGTTCTCCCGCCAGATGTCGCTGCAGCAGCCGCGTCATTTCCTAACTTTTACCGTTGGGGGTCACCACAACTTGGCAAATGTTACCAAGGGGTCCCGGCCCTAGAAAGGTTGAGAACCACTGATCTAGGAATACCCATGTCCGGGGTAAGGCATATTTACCCAACTCCTAAGAGCAAGCCCAATTCTTCCTGAGAGGAGTACTGGGGCAGGCTGCTGTGATGTTATCAGGAAGCTTTTTACATCACCCTGCCAGCTCCTTCCACCTGCATTGCACAGAGAAGCACATAGGCCCAGTGATGACAACAGTTGGTGTAAATTATGGTATTTAATGAAAACAGAGGTTTTATAAAAACATGTAATTTGCATGTTGATGAGGGGAAATGAGGAACCAGGGAAGACCAAATAAAATCTTGAGATCAACATAGACAAATATTCCGGCTCATCCTCCGAAATGTAACATTGACCAGCAGGAAGAAAGTTTGGTTGGAGCACCAATGTCATGACAACCGATCTACAATCAGGAATCCCAAACAGTCCAGAGGACGAGCGGCGACTTTGGAGCACACAACGTTTTCACCATCAGCAGTCCATCCACAGCGTCTCCCCGCGATGCTCGCACTCCGACCGTGCAACAACCTGCAAGGCGGCCGGACCAGTAGGAGGTCGGGTCACTCTACCAGGCACCACCCGCTGCGCCCGTGCCAGTCTCTCTCCCGCAGAGCACGCCCTATTACTCCGAGCGTCTTTGCGCGACGGCGCTGGGCACCTCTGCCCATCACCACCAACAACACGGGAGAGCCCGGGCACACCCGGCCATTGGCTGATCGCACGACAGGCTGCGCCCTGATTGGTCAGATGAAGCATCAGTCAAAGAACGAAGGTTCCCGCCCCTTCTTGAACCAGCAGGTTAGTGTTCACCGCGGTGCAGCGCAAGACCCCGCGAAGCGCAGAGCCTGGATTCGGGTGAGACTCGGGAACGCGAGATGGAAATGAAAAAGAGGATCCACCTGGAGCTCCGGAACAGGACGCCGGCCGACGTAAGAGCTGCCGCCTGCTAAATGTCTGACACCAGCCCGGGAGGGGGGAGGTTAGTGGGGGCGCTCGGTTGAGGGACCCCCTTAGCTCTTCCCCCATAGACGGGCGTCGTTTACAGTGAGGCTACGAGCGTTTTTGTAACTTTTGTTTGACAAGAGACGCACCGCCCACCGCGATCACAAACATGGTGATCGGCCACAGACATCGTCGGCGATCGATAACACATCTTCCCTCCAGCAGATAGTAATCCGGAGCCTACTCGGTGTCGGCACGCCGTCCTCTGCTCACCTTCCTCCGGTGTCCGCTCTCCCCGTCGCCGCCTGTACAATGAGTGCCAGTCAGGGCTCCGCTGAGGGCGGGATCGGGGCAATACCGCACCGTGCGGTAGAACACCGCTCGTATCGGAGTGGCCAGGTTGTGAGCTCGGGGTGGGGTGGCCAGGAACAGGTGAGGCGGCTGGGTGTGGCCATCCCCTGTCAGGGTATCACGACGCTCCGGCCGCCTTTTCCTATTTATCTCCTTTTTCCCTCGGCGGCGGCTGGTGTTTATATAACAAGGGCGCCATCTTTACCTCAGCTCGCCTCTTTTCTATCTCACCCCCTTCTCCCCGTCACGGTATTAGTGTGTTACGCAGCCGCCGCCTCGCTCAGATAACATGGCGGATACGCGGTAACATGACCAGCCGCCGGGGCCATTTTGTTTCCGAAAGTGTGACCTTAGGAAGGGCACGCAGACGGACTTGAAGGAGGGAACGACAGCCGCCGCCTTCGGCATCATTGTCCGGAAACAGGTCCGGCGGGCCGCGGCACTCCGCGATGTGTCAGAGAAGACACAATGGAAGTTGTCGGCTTCCCGCCCAGCGCGGTTATGAGGAGAATCCAGAGCTCCTCTCCTGTGAAAGAAGGGGAGGGTGGGCTGGGGTCGCTCGCCATTCGCCCACGCGCGGTCACGTGGGGTAGAACAGGTGTACTCGAGCGGCTGAAGTCACTCAGGCGGAGCAAAGTGTTGTGTACCGTAACGGACGTTATTTTGCGCTGTAATAAAATAAAAATAAAGATCGTTCATAAAAGGGAAGTTCGCTGAAAATATTCTTTCCGTTGCAGTGTGATAAGATAAAGCACAGGGACAACATTTCCTCTTCATAGTTCTCACTTCTGTGTTTGCATTCTTCATAACTCCATCATATATAAAGAAGCAAGCAATGGAGATTTCCAATGGCCTTAAAGTTGCTATGGAGATTTCTAGAGGCCTTACAGTGGTCCTTTCATGCCAAATGGAAGGTCAACTTCTTTGTGAGCCCCCTCCACCAAAGGGCTAGTCACACTTCTGCCTGAGTGTAGCCAAGCTACTTGGGAGTTTTTTTTTTGGTTTGGTTGTGGTACAGGAGCAGTCATAAGGTGCCCATACACCTTACAACCATCGCAAGACTTGTCTTGCGATGGCCGTAAGCTTATTAAAAGCTCGTACGATCTGCCCATCTTGGACAGGCAGATCGTACTTGCGATCATCGAAAGCCCGCTGAGGGGCTGGCTTTCCGATGACCGCAATGCTGAACGGGCAGTGTGCACACACCGGCCCGTTCCGCAGTTATCGAACGAGCAGGCTAGAAACCCGCCGAGAATGGTACGATTCTCGGCGGGTTTTCTAGCCTGCTGGTTCGACAACAGACGTGCGACCGTACAGTAAAACCGGTTGCACACCTCCCATACACCTCGCGATTATCGTACGATCGCTGGATTTCCCGCAATTATCGCAAGGTGTATGGGCATCTTTACGTTTTTGGCCCCTTTTAAATGGGAACACCTGAAAAACATAACGTGCGTTTTTCAGGAGCTCCCATAAAAGTCTATGGGGCCAGAGACGCACGATTTTGCTCCAAAAGCCAGTCGGGTACTTTTTAGAAGACTCGCGTGGCAAGCAACACTGCGCTCTGGTGTGAACGGCCCATTGAAGATGATGGGAATCCTCAGCAACGTCACACAACAAAGTGCTCAGGTGTGAATGAGGCCTAAAAAGCCACTTGTAAACAAATGACCTCAGCTGCTGTGTCCGACGGTGTAAGAATGCATTCCAGCCCGTCGCAGGAGTGCATTCTAACCAGGTTTTGAGCGCCTGTCAAAATACTGGCATATCGGTGATGGGGAAAGTGGAGGTAAATAAGGCCTCTTCTGTGTTGGTGTAAATCGTCATACTTGTAATTATTGTCGCATCTTCGTGACATAATCTGTCTTTGGGCTCATTTACAACAGCGTTCGGGCTGGTGTCGGCTAGGTTGCGAGCAATGCCTTCCTTGTCAAAACCTTGGGGTTTTATTTGGCTTTTATTCAAAAATAGCAAAGTGACATTTTGTTCATTTGTATTCAGTTTGTATGGAGCCTGATCTCACCTGGAGCAGCATGTGGTATGTTTAACATACATGAATCCGTCACAAGTTCCGCCATTTCTCACGCTACCGCGAGACAGATTTCTGAGTATCTACGACTCTCATGAATTGAGATGTGCAGCAGACCCTGCAATGAGCTCTATTTAGCCGAGGTTTTCAGTCTAGGATATTCACACCCGTGTAAGGGAACTTTAACTGGAAATCGCCCAATGTGTCCAACTCAGCGGTGACAGCCATTCATTTGTGTGTTCAGTTTACTACATTCTAAGACTGAAAAAACCAATACCATTTTTTCCAGACCGAGTACCAATACTTTCCCTCAAACTCTCACCGATACCAATTACATGTTTTTTTTTTTTTCTAGTTCCGTGAGTTTAAAAAAAACAAACAATACTGACTAATGATTTTAGGACAGTGGTGAAGCACTAGGGCCCAGTACAGCTCTGACCGCTACGTCCCTGGTAGTTCTGCCACTGACTCCAAGCTGTACAGGGACTACAAATCCCAGCAATACATTATAGAGCAATGCTGAATAATATGAAGCTGAATACTCAGTGTTGCTTCGGGGTGGCGGCCTGATGTCTCTAGGGTCTCAGGTGGGCTGTGCAGGATTTCAAGTGGGCTGTGCAGGGTTTCCGGTGGGCTGTGCAGGGTCTCAAGTGGGCTGTGCAGGGTCTCCAGTAGGCTGTGCGGTGTTTCAGGATGGGCCCAGAGGGTCTCACCAGGGGTCAGGATGGTCTTGTGGGTGGCCAAAGCGTTGTGTGTTTCCCAGGAAGAAGGGGATGTGCAGCCGTCGCTGTAAATAGGCACCGCGGTTCACAGGAAGGCTGCTAAGGTCCCGGCAAGCTTGAGACCTCAAGCAGCTGCTTCAGTTTTAAAATGTAAAGCACTGGTATCGGTGTTTAGTATCGGGCATTTTCACAAGTACTGCTGAAAATCCCAGTATCGGTGCATTCCTACCGATAGTGTTGACTTCTGGGAAACTAAGGAGGCCTATCTTTATAAATGCACTTGAATAGCACAGCCTGTCCTAAAATCTTTATAAATTACAGTAAGGGTTACATTGTGCTATATATAATTTAGGAGCTGATTTATGAAGCGTTCGCCCAGCATATGGCTGTGCAAATAACGTTCGCAGCACATTACTGCCATAAAATGGAGATTAGAAGTGTAGGAAATTTCTGTGCTTCATCTAGTGGCAGTGAACATCATTTAAACAGCTATATGCTGGGCGAACGCTGTATAAATCATAATCCTCATGTCCCATCGCACTCCTGACCGCACTCTCTGTTTGCCTGAGGAAGAGGCCGCACGGTCCCGAAATGTTGCTAAGGAGATGTGTGTCACCACAGTCAATAAACAGCATTGACTTTAATTAATACTTATTGAGTGCGAGTGACTTATTGAGTGCGAGTGACTACTTTCATCTACCGTTGTATAAATCAGCCCCACAGTGTTCATTATCAATAAAATTGATATTTTTATGTAAGTAGTAACCGCTACTGTAGCAGAGCTGCTCTGTATTTTTATTTACAGATAGGGGCGCATACCACGTTGATTATTGTATTATGAATTCGTGGTTTTAGTTTTCAAAAATATATATGATTAGTACCCCATTTATTTTTAATGTGTCAAGTATCAGGAACAAAAAAATGTGTTTACATGAATCTTTTACAGCTCTACATTCAAGGTAGCGCCTTTGAGAATATTTGATGCATGTTTTTTTTGCATTGTCCCTTTGCTTCCTGAGGAAGAAGCATTATTGTCAACATGTCATAGCAGTTTGTTTTCTTTTTTTTAAAAGTAGATAAGAAACAAGGCTGCCGCATCCAAGTGCTGCGAGCGTAGCTGCTAAAGCACTCTTTGTGCAGATGGTGCTGTTTAATATTTAAGGATGCCGTTTCCATCTGATCAGAGCAAAGGAAAGTGGTGCCACTTGACAGATGTCCTTGCTTTTCTCAACACTGGTATTATTTTTCTTGCTGTTGCCCGAAAAATACTTTGTAGCATATAAAATCTGTGTTTAATGTACGCTCCATTATTTTTCTACAGTAGGAATCTTAAACCGAGAGCAAGTTGCAGCTAGTGTAGTTAGAACTCAGTCTGTCCTTTAGGGCCCATTCATACCTATGTGTTGTGTTAATCACACCGTACCATTTGAATGGCACCCCAATGCACTGCAATGAATGGTACCACAGTATCATGTGGTGCGGGGGAAAAAGTAGTGCACGCACTACTTTTTCTCTTTCCTTCATTGACGGACACAACAGAGATCTTTAGATCTTGACCGTTGGGTTATAGTGCCAGCTTCAGAGTAGGAAACTAGGCAAAACAAACAAAGCACAGCCTAGAGGGGGCCCCTGCTGGGTGCCAAACCTCCCAACTGAAAGAGGCTGCTCAGTTTTTTGCCTAGTGTAAAGGAGTTCGGACCTTGGCTCCCTTCTGGGAATCTTAGTTTTCATTTAATCTCATTCTTGGTATTTTTATTTTTCCTTTTTTATCTGTCTGTCAGACCTTCAGTCAATAGCTGAGCTGTGTGACAAGCTGGATAATAAAGATCCTTGTAGTCCCTCAGCTCAGCCATCAAGTGCATACAGATCCTTAGCTATGTGCAGGGTTGGCTGTGGCAGCACTATTCTGGATCTAAGGAAAGCCTGTGAGTGTTCCTCATGGGAGGCACATATGACATAGGGTACCCCCTGTTTCCCTGTGTCGTGGGGGCAATATGTTTAGTCTGCTGGGCTTCCCTATTGCTTTATTAGCTTCTATGGGGGTCTCTACTCAGGGGTATTACATGGTACTCGTGCTGGACAGGTTTTTAGGGTCTGTTCACACGACGTCCGTTTTGTGTGCTGACCGGCTCCGTACGCTGCTGCACTCAAAATGCATCCCAATGTATCCCTATGTGTTTTATGGGCTCCAGTTCTCACGTGCGCAGTCCGTTCAGCTTACGACAGAAAAAATACTGCATGTCACATTTTGTCAGGTCCGGAAACGGTCCGGATACGCAAACGCGTCAGAAACGCACTGCGCTGCAGCTAACATACTAACAGCCCCACTCCAGCAAAACGCGGCCAAAAACGCACTGCATCAGCAGCTCCACGTCTGCTGATCAGGACCTGATCTCATGTGAACAGGCCCTTAGCGTTTTTCCTGCTCACTGTTGGGGCTCTGCCCTGGTGAGTTTTGTGTGGACTTAGCGTCATGCAGCCATAGGTTTATGCGACCGCTTTGGGTGCGCAGGTGGCTGTGGCTCCGTGTGCTGTGACCAGTGTGGCTCTGTTGCAGCCATTCTGCAGCCTCTGGTGGCCACTCTGGGAGTCCCAGCATTTTGTGTGGCCGCTATGTCAGCCACTCTGGGGACTTGGTGGCCATGGTTCCATGTGTTGTCGCCATCAGGGCTCCCAGTTGCAGCCCTTCTGCAAACTCTGGCGGCCTCTCCGGGAGCCCTGGCACTTGCGTGACCACTTTGCGGGATTGTTGGCTGCAGCTGTTTTGCTGTCTCTGGAAGCTGCTCTGGGTGCACCACTGCTTCGTGTGGTCTTGTGCGCATGTTCTGGGGACTGCTGCTGCTCTTCAATCACTGGCGAATGTTCTGGCAGCCCTAGCTTCCCTACTTCCTACTGACTTGTGGGCATATTACTCTGCAGAGTAATATGCCTGTCCCTGTGGACTTTTTGAGTTTTTATAACTTGAAGTGGTGCATGCACTGTGGGGTGTTATGGTTTCGCCCTCCTCAGGGTTGCTATCCTTATGGATATGTGGGCCTCCGTCACCCACCCTTTCTTCCCTGAATGGGTTCTATTCCGCAGAGGTCTCAGAGTTTTCTGGGCATTCTGTCCCTATGAAAGTGCCATTTTCTGGCCGATATAGCGGTGCATCCTATTCTCTCCTACCCGCTGGGCGCTGCTTTGTGTCCCATCGGGGAGGAGAGAAAGTGTCACAGGCGGCCGAGCGCTGCGGGAGGAGAGCGCTGTGAGTGGCCGGCGTCTCTCCTCCCCGCACCACTCAGCCTCCTATCACAGATCAGAGGAGAGCAGTGTGCTATATATAATTTAGGAGCTCCGCTCGCTCACTGACACATGAAGGGGAGCGAGGTACAAACACTCGGTGATCGCTGAGTGTTTGTAAATAATTTAGGACATAGTATGTTTACTGTGTCCCCTATTATGAATGAATGGGAAGTGATCTACATCACCTCCTGTTCATTCATGAATGTGGTTATAGTAAACATACTATGTCCTCATGTTATGAATGAACAGGAACACTCCGTATAGAGGATTGCTGTTCATTTATATCAGGGGCTGCAGAAAAAGAGATTGAGAACTCTGCGTCTTCAATCTCTTTTTCTATTGTAAAAGGGAAATATCAGGGGTCTGTTTAGACCCCTAATATTCCCCCAAAGCCCCTAAAAGTAAAGTAAAAAATATTTAATAAAAATGAATAAATAAAATATAAAAAAGTTTCAAAAAATATTTTTGAAAAAGTTAGAATAAAAAATGGTTTCGGTCTGAAATTGTTATTTCGGTGCACCTCTAAGAGTAATGTCTGCACCAAATTCTAAAAAATGCTGTGCCATTTTCCAGACCACTTCCGACAACTGCATCAAATTCAAGTAGTTCTTATTTGTGCCATATTTCACTGTGGTCGCTGTGAATGAACTCTGTTTGTTCGGTAATAAGAGCAAGTACTTTTGACGTAACTAGTCTGTCACATGTTCATATGTATATGTCTGTCGCAGTATGTGAAGCATACCTCAGGTCCGACATTCCTTGAAACTGAGGATCGTACTGAAATCCATCTCAAGCACTTATGGGACAGAGATGCAACACGTGTGTACTTTTTCAGTCTGCATATATCTGTCCCGCAGTTTGTTTTCCAGTTTCATACGTTTGCACAAACTTCATAAATGTCCAGACTGCAGACCACAAACTTCATAAATGTCCAGACTGCAGACCAGAACACAGTGTGGCACAGCTATATCCAATTCTGCATACCTGGCTTTATATTATAAGAAAATGTAATAATAATATAAAGCCAGTTATACAGAATTGGATACAGCTGTGCCACACTATACAGTGTTCTGGACTCTGGACATGTGCATCTATTTTCCCCACTATGGGGATACAAGCCTTAGTTAGCAATGGCATGATAAATATTAATTTAATTATTCAATGTCTTTTTTTATATTATAAATGTTCTACTCTGGACATGTGCTCATCTATTTTCCCCACTATGGGGATACAAGCCTTAGTTAGCAATGGCATGATAAATATTCATTTCATTATTCAATGTCCTTTTTTTAATATTATAAATGTTATAATATTAAAAAAAGACATTGAATAATGAAATGAATATTTATCATGCCATTGCTAACTAAGGCTTGTATCCCCATAGTGGGGAAAATAGATGATCACATGTCCAGACTCCAGAACAGTGTATTATTGTATAGTGTGACACAGCTGTATCCAATTCTGCATACCTGGCTTTATATTATAAAGTTCTTATAATATAAAGCCAGGTATGCAGAATTGGATATAGCTGTGCCACACTACAGAGTGTTCATGTTCTTCATAATATTAAGAAACTGACCTAAAATCATGATTTTGTATTGCTTTAGAAAAAATTTGACCTGTCCCTTTAAGAAAAAGTATTGGTAATTGGTATCGGCGAGTACTTGAAAAAAAGTATCGGTACTCGTACTCGGCCCTAAAAAAGTGGTATCGGTGCATCCCTAGTAAAAATGCAACATTTCTCAATATGCTTCACTGAAATAACCTACTTTGTGAAATGGTCTGCAAGGAAAAGGACAGATGTCGGATTCATAACATCCAGCAAAAAATGTTATGCTTGTATCTAATTTTGTTTGCTGACTGGATTAGCAAAGTGAATATAGGAACCTATTATGGATGCATTTATTTTGTCCCTAATTGTGTACACCTTGTTTATTTCCAGGTAAAAGAGCTTGTCCTGGATAACTGCCGGTCACGCGAAGGAAAAATAGAGGGACTGACAGACGAATTTGAAGAACTGGAATTTCTAAGCACAATTAACGTCTGTCTCAGCTCTGTTGCAAATTTACCAAAGTTAAACAAATTGAAAAAGGTAATTAGATGGATGCTGGTGTCTCGGAACTTTCATGAGTTATTCTAAATGGGCAGATCTCTTCTGAAGAACCACATGTGAGAGATTTGCCCGTTTTGTTGTCTAGATTTGGGATTTACTGAAGTTTTATTACACCTAATTGCCAACATTTTCATGTGATACCTGCTCCTATGGAGAAATGGAAACCATCTGTGATCAGTAACAGGGATTTTCTTTCAAGTTCTTGTTATTCCATGGGATTCACCCCACACATTGCTGGTCTCAAACCATGCACAAATGAGTTGCTTTGAGTTTGAGTCTTGTACCTGTGCTAACCACGGTTACAAAACTTCTGATGGTTGTGGTTACACAGTTTCAGGTAGGTGGCAGCAAAGAGTCAAGTTTCACTTACCCTTCATATAGAAAAAACACTCTAATTAAATGGAGCCTAGTTGCCTAACTATCACCTATTATTCTGACAGCTGTATTTTAATGAATGCAGCTCAGCAGTATCATAGAGACTGATGTTTAGGCAAATATTGTATGTAAACCACATTCTCTACTTTGAAGGAGTACAGGCATAAATAATACAGGTGTTACATAAATAGAAAATAATCAGGTAGCTTCATTTTTAAAAGCTGTAGAAAAGCAGATATTTTTATTGTTTATTAAGGTACATGTGTAGTATTCAGAGACACTGGGCTATGATGTTGCCTACAGTAGATTAGACACTGGCAAACAAAGCTGTATGACAGCCTAGTATAAATCCTCTCATTTCTCATCATGTTCCACTTCTTTTGCTAGTGGTTTAGTAGTATAGACATCATCTCTCCTCAGACTATCTCTACTTTCTATAACATGATTTTTTTTTTTCCTCAGTCAAATTTTCCAAGTGCTGCAGAGCTAAAAGTGCTCACTTTGTAGCTTTCTGGATCGGTTGATCCTCGGAATCGCCATGGAGGTCATACCAAGACCTCGCTGTGAGGTAGAAGTGGGGCCAGCTTGTAATAGGACCTGTGTATAAAGTGAGCTAGTCACAGAGTGCTTTACAGGTCCAGGGCTGGGATGCACCCGCCTGGTTGAATGCCATCCCTGAAGGCTCCCTCGGGAATATGCCTGCCGTGGGGCAAAGACTGTGATGTGCATACTGCCCTGCCCGAGCTCCTGTTGGCCATCCAGACCGTCATGATTGCTGAGTAGCAGGGCTTGCCCCTACTGATAAAAGAGCCTGGCACCCGTACATGATGTATTCTGCTTCCCCTTTGGGGTTAATGTGTGTGTGCTGTGACACATTAAATGTTCACTTCATGTAGGCGCTGTGACTCGCAAAGGTCCAGGTTCAGTGATCCTTGCTGCTGCTTCACAGTGACCTCGTCACATATGGCTATCAACCATTCCTGCTTTAGCAGATTGAATTGTGAGTACCTCCTAAAGGACCTGACACGAATAGCCCAGATCGCTGTACCCTGTGCGAGTCCACCCTCTCCTCCGAGTCTTCTTAACATCTTCAGGTATGCTCCCCTCTTGTATTGTCCAGGGAGGAATTTTCTACAACTATGTCTGAGTTTATGGGAAAAATATCAGTCATGTTAACTAACTCACAAGTGTGCTCCCACGCTCTCCTCCGGCGTCCATCTCTGATTCAACTGTGGCTACAGCTGCCCCTATAGTCCACAGCCTGTTAAAACTGACTGTTCCTGTGGAGGAAATCCTGGTGTTTAAAGAGCCTGTAAATAAAAGCTCTTTCCAAGGCCTTATTTACCCTAGTGGGCCATGCCCCGCACCCTGTCATTGCTGCCTATCTGCCAGACTCCAGGCATCTGGTCCTAGGATCCTGGTTCTATCCGTACTAATTTTTCAGTCCTTCAACATTTGGAGCTAATGCCAGTGGCCTTACACTACTGTGTTGTCAGGCTAGTAGATTATTATATGCCTAATACCCAGAAGTTGTCTCCTATCTGTACACATGCGAAGGACCCTCTGTGGATGAAATGTTGGTCTGCAGAGCGTCAGTGCAAGAAACACTTTTTGTGTATACCCTTTGATGGCTTTTTTTGCATCCCTGGACAACTTTATCAAGGACATCACCAGAGGGAAGAGCACCCTCTTGGCCCACCAAAAGAAGGCTAAGCCTCAGTCTGGAAGACCCTCTACCTCCTGAGGCTAAGATGAGTTCCTTTCAATTCTCCCAGACCTCCAACTCTAGGCCTGGGACCCAGTTCCACTGCAAGTCATAGACTCCCAAATGTGTAAGCAGATCCTCTTCACATTGAATGAACGCCCCTACTTACCAAAGCAGGGACACCTCTGTTGGCCTTAGCAGGCACCTGTACCCATGGTATTTCAGACGCCTGGGTCCAGCACTAGGTATCCAGGGGCTACAAATTGGAGTGTCGAACTCTACCTCTGCCTTGCTTCATGTTGTTGCTGACGCCTCCTCCCGGGATTAGCGAGCCTCCAGGCTGTTCTGGCACAATGTCTTTCTCAAGGGGTAATATGCATTGTCCCAGAGAAAGAAAGGTTTGAGAGTTTCTATATAAACCTGTTTACTGTTCCCAAAGCAAAAAAGGGCAACTGCACCATTTTGGGTCTAAAGGTTTCCAAAACTTCTGGGTAAAATATTACACACTGTATGTGCAGTGATTGCGTCCCTCCATCCATAAGACGTTCTGGTCTCTGTGGACATCAAGGATGCCTACTTGCATGGCACCTTCTTTCTAGTACATCAACACTACTTCTGTTTTGTTTGAGGTGGGCATGCAACATTACAAATTAGTTGTCCTTTCTTTTCGGAATGTCCCCTGCACCTAGGGTTTTCACCAAGGCGCGAACCCTCTGCTTTGCTCTTGGGGCACCTCCATAATGGGGCACACAGACGACCTTCCTTCTTCTCAGGGGACAGTCAGCACTGACTCATTCAGTTAATGTCCAACAAACTGTTCAAACTCTGCAGAACATTTGGTGGATCCTGAACGCCCAGACGTCAATTCTGGAACCAACTCATTACTTTGAGTATCTGGGCCTCCTGCTGGATTCTTGCCTTCAGGAAAAACTCCTCTGTCTGCTCTCTCACATTCTCCGAGCAATCGCATATGCCTGATACCCAGGACTAGGTTAGGCCTGAAAGGGTCACAAATTAAGCTTTTATGAATATGGATGTTTCTGATCATGAGGAGGGAAGAGCTCTGATACTCGCTGCTTTAAGATAAAAACAGCAGTCATCACACAGAAACTCTGTCCTGGCTGATCAGTTCTTGCCTTGATCAGGCTCAGCACGGGGATGCAGCTTTAAAATTGGACAAGCACTTCTAGTGTATGCCAGCCAAATCTTTTGTTTTTGATAGAGTGGGAAAGGTTTAGAATCCCTGTCAGATTAAATGTGGTCAGGGCACTATTAGACAGATTTACTTTTGTTTACTGGACTGGACGCAAGTGTAATTTTCCAACAGAAATGCAGGCAGAAATAAAAATGTGTTTCTTTGGTACTGTAGGGGAAGGCTAGAACCCCTGTCAGATTTTTATTTCTCTATGCCCTTTTTGTACACTTTCCCTCACTTCCTGTTTGCTGAAACCATTGTCAACAGAACATGATGTGAGGGTAAATCTCTCCAATGGATCCTTGGATAGCAGTGAAAATCCAACATGAGTTCTAATCCTTCCCCACTCTTTCTAAAACTAGAAACAAAGACGTTTGTATACTTCTGTTCATTTTAAACCGATGTCATATTTGCTTTCACTATAGATAATGGATTCTTGATGCAGACGCATTGTTGATTAATGATGATGTATGCTGTTGTTTTGTAGCTGGAGTTGAGTGATAATAACATCTCTGGAGGACTGGAAGTACTGGCAGAAAAATGTCCAAACCTTACACATCTCAACCTGAGTGGAAACAAAATAAAAAATATGAGCATAATAGAACCTCTGGTGAGAAAGCTGTTTTTATATAGGGTACAGTGCTGGGGTTTTGAATAAAACTGTACTGAAATACTAAAGGGGCATTCTTACTCTTACATATGTGAATGGTGCGCCTTAATCCTGTGTATATGATAGTAATTTCCTATTTTATGTTCTGCAGTAATTCCTAACATTATTTTTCCCACCTGCAGAAAAAATTAGGGAGCTTAAAGAGCTTAGACCTGTTTAACTGTACGGTCACCAACCTCAGTGACTATCGAGAAAATGTCTTCAAGTTACTGCCCCAGCTCACTTACCTAGATGGATATGACAAAGATGACAAGGAAGCCCCCGACTCCGATGCTGAAGCCTATGTGGCGGGTTTAGATGATGACGATGATGAGGATGATGGTGGGTACTGGAGTTATGGCTTACCAAGCTCCTATGTTTTTTCTGTCTTTATAACTTTATACCAGGAGTTTAAAAGAGCTTTCCACTTTCAAAAGTCTGAAAACCTATGCCTTAAGCCGTTACTGATTTTCTATGAGAAGAAAGGCAGTGCCCCCAGCAGCTTTGCACATGCTGTGTGGCTTTATGTTGTTGGGGTGTTGTGTTTGCTTTTTATTCAGCCTTAGAAAGCACCAAGTTCCATATGCCTCAGGGGCTGCTAAAGCAGAGATCAGTTAGGAGATTGAAATGGGGAACCTCCAATGCTGGACAACAGACAGGTACAAAAGGAGTACCCTATTGTCTTCTCAATGTTCGTTTTACTACTGGAAGAGTAATCTGCTGGCTGTTCCTCTCAATCTGATTAGGTCTGTGGCCTTCATATGCAAATGAATCTGAAGGTCTGTATTGCTCACAGCAGTCAGTCTTCAAAATGTGTCAAGAAATAACATTATTATGGGAAAACAGGTACCTGTAACAATACAGGCTGTTCATTTTCATAGTGTGTCACCATAAAAACATCAGGCTGGTAATCAAGGGCCATGATGCCTGGTGACCACCCAAGATGGCTTTATGTCCACTTGTGGGGCAGACTAGATATACTAGGCACATTTTTTTCGACCACCCGCCCAGGAAAGAAAATTCTAGGAAGAACACTGAAAATGAATCAGTTGGGGCCATATACCGAACAGCTATTATATCCTGTTATAATTTCGATTGGCCAGTGGTATCGGATGTGCTGTCAAATTTTGTCATGCATATATCAACCCAACCTTTACAAGCAGTTTTATGGGCAGGTTGCTTTCCTTTCTGCTGAGGTTCACTATTCCTCATTGCAGTTGCTAAATACCAAAAATTTGAAGCAGCTGGATTCAGCACCATGTTCTTATTATGTTCCAAAAGCACGACTGTTGGTATTTGCTGCCATACATTTGCTGCCAACAGGGAAACCAAGCAGGAGATTGAGGGCAGCAAAGTAGTTACAAAATATTACCTCTCTTTTCCATTTCCAACAGTGACATAAACAGCTATTAAGAGTTGATGGAGGTTATAACCTCCATCTCCGCACTACTATAAATGTGGCTTTATTGCTGCTGTGTCCCTGTTACCTTGTCACAGGGGCAGTAAATAAGTAGAAATCTACTCTTATAGTGTAAAACCTCTTTCTGCTGAAAGGATGATTGAGGGAAGATTATATAACACAATCCCTCATACACATATACTAACTATGGGCCTCACTACTGTCCTTGTAGGGATGAACTCAGGTTTGGGCTAGGGCTGCAACAACTAATCGACATAATCGATTATAATCGATTATTGAAAAAGTTGTCAACTTTTTCAATAATCGATTAATCGGCTTCCGATTGGTTGGCCCTGTTCACGGCTCCACACACGCTGCACGCCACACCTCCTCCCCACCTCACGCTCGCCGCTACAAATCCCAGCAATAATACATTATACAGTGGTGCAATGCCGAATACCACTAGCTATAGAGGACTACAACACCCAGCAATAGTACATTATACAGCACAATGCAGAATACTACCAGATATAATGTACTATTGCTGGGATTTGTTGTACTCCTCTATAGCTGGTGGTATTCTGCATTGTGCTGTATAATGTACTATTGCTGGGTTTTGTAGTCCTTAATAGGCGGTGCCATTCTACATTAATTGCTGTATAATTTTACACTTTTCATTTCACTATATTGCACACCACACTTTTTTTTTCCTTTTCTTTACTTCCACCGCTCCAAGCTTGCTCCTGTGATGGACTACAATCTCAATACAAACTAGTAGTCCATCACTGGAGCCATTTTTAAAAATGTATTTAATGTTTTTATCCGATTAACCGATTAATCGAACTTAATAATCGTCCAACTAATCGATTTTGAAAATAATCGTTAGCTGCAGCTCTAGTTTGGACCTAAGCTGAGCTCCTTCGAACATAGAAGTACGCTCCTTCTGCTGCTGCCCAATCAGCTATGGCCAGGAAATTCCCTGCCCATATGCAAAGGGGTGGGGTGCAATGACGTCATTGACCTTATATGACCAAATGGCTATATTGGATAAATGACATTGACCTAATGTGGCCATATAAGGTCAGTGATGTCAGCACAAGTATCCTGCCCCTTTGCTTATGTGCAGGGCTGGGAATGCCCCGGGCCGCAGCTTATTGGTTGGGTAGCCCCATGTAGCTTCCGGGTTCAGAGGAGCTCGGATTTAGACCGGGTTTAGTAACACATCAGATTTTTACCTTTTCAGTTACCTGCAAACAAGTAGAGAATGGAAAATACAATCTACATTTGTACTATTTAGCTTTCATTTCTGAACTTCTATAAATCCTTGTTTTAAAAACAAAGAAAAGTATCTTCTGGCAATAATGTGTTAAGCAACATTGAAACAGGAAGGACGATAGTTGCCAAGGTAACCAGCACATGCTATAATTAGGAATATTTTTATAACTGTACACTAAATGGGCTGACAAGATGGGCTGCAAAAGCTTCATCACTCCCCCATATGGTTTCATTTTGTCCTAATTTGTCTTTCATCATGTTATCATTTTTTGTATAATAAGGTTTCCAGTCTTTCCATCAGCTTTCCCCATATCTGTCACTCCATATAAATTCCTCTATCCTGATTTTAACTCTATTTCTAGCAACCCATCTTGCCACTGTCCTTGTTACTTGCTTCTTCTACAGAAATAGCAAATGACAAACAATGCAAGAACAGCTTTAATGAATGCACAGTTCATTGTATCAAAATCATACATATCAGAGTATATTAGCTGTTCAGTATTTGGACAAAACTCAATGAGGGGAACTTATCAAAACTTTACCAGACAGAATCTGGAGCAGTTGCCCATGGCAACCAAGTTAAGCTTTGAAAATAAAAGAAGCTGATTGGTTGTCGTGCAAAGCTCCTCCACATTTTGCCTGCTCCAGTGTTGATAAATTCCCCTCACAGTCTTTCAGTGTTCTACCTGGAATTTCTTTTTCTAGCTGGGTGTGCTGAAAAGTGGGCAGGTGATCCAAAAGAAAAAAAAAAAACTCTACCTTTTTCATTAAATTAAAACAGCGAGACTGTGTTAAATTAAAAAGTACAGATTATATCACGGATTAAAATGGCGTATGATCACAAAGCAGTGAAAAATTACAATTCATCATAAAAAAAAAAATATATTACAGTTATCGCACTATAGGTAACCCTAAATGATGGCCCTAAAGTGATTTTTCAACCTCTGCAATGTCTGACCGCAGTAGGGGCTTATGTATGTACATGCATCATAAATGCAGGATCGTAATAATCCTAAAATTTAAGCAAATTCAATATAAGTGTTTTCCCCATAGTTCTCCAAAGGGTCACGGGAGACATAAACTAGCGTCCTCCCGTGACCCAAAGCTCAGTATATCGCGAGCTACAACTCGCGGTATACCGAGACCGCCGCAGCCGTGACGGAACCCAACATTACTGTGGAGATCCACCCAGCTGTGTGATTGACAACTGGCTCTGCCTATCTAGAGGCAAAGCCAGCTGTACCCGCCCCGTCCGTTCTGCCAGTCAGCAGTGGAGGAGGGGGGAAATCCCTGCAGGGAGCCGTGAGTGATGGTCACGGCTCTCTGCAGGGACGTGAGCGAGTGACGGTATATGTTCGCTCACTTCCCGATCTATTGAGCCGACGTCTGACAGCTTCATTGTCACACGTCGGCTCGAACTATGAGGTTGAGTGAAAATCGCTCACCTCATAGTTCTCCTTTAACACTAGTATTTATGGCCCAGTCACACCAGCAGGCATTATGGTGCGTATAATGCATGCCTGTTGTGCACCTGCACCTTTTTTTTTATTATTTAACTCCGTGTTTAAATTTTTTTTTAAATGCCCAACAGTGCAACATGCTGTCGTGTATTGTAACTTGTTTTGCATTGCATAAAAATGCAGACATCTTGCATGCCTTTGCAACGCACTCTAATGTACTTGTATGGTGTGAACAGGGACGATAGAAAACACTTGTTATCTCAGTGCCCTCCTGTTGAGCCTGTGTTAGTCAATGCAGATTGGCGCAGCTCCACGCCCATGATGTGAACAAATGCTTAGGCAAAAGACTGAATTTAGACTCGCAGCCGGCAAATTAAGCAATCACAAAATATGCTTTTTTTAAAGGGTATGTTTGTGCTTCTTAAAGTCAGGTTCAGCACAGCAGCCATTCAGAGGTTGTGTAGTATTTCTCTCAATGAATACTAGACGTTCTCTGATTGAACTAGGAGCAGTGCCAAGTCATCGGGGAAAAAATGCTGGCAGGAAGGAGGATCTATGACAATAGAGACTTGCAGAGTCTCTTCTGTCATAATATGACGGTCAGCACTTTTCAGAAATATGAGTAAAAATATTAAAATATGACTTAAGATCCACTTTAACTGTAAATGATGTTACTGTACAATTGGATGTTGTGTGGTACCGTTAAAGTCCAGTTTTCCAATATGTAATGAGTTATATACTGTTTAGGTAGACACTACCACTACACAATTGTTGATAAATGTAAAGATAGATTGTACAATTGGATTATAATGTGTGCCCAGCTCTCGGATGCATTCACGTGGGGCGTTCTGGGAATCCTGTGGCAGGAACCTATGGATTCTTGCGGCAGGTATCCCAGCTGTCCCTGTTCAAGTTAATGAACGGGTGACAGCAGCCACAGTTGTCAGCAACAATCTGCATGTAACCAATCATGCATAGAATGATTACATGTGGTTTGCGATAGATGATTGTCATTGGACACCGGATAGATGCATTCATACAATTGTCTATCCCAACCCCCACGTAAACATACCATGTACGGCTGCAGGTGGACTGCTGCTGACGAATGCGGCTGCTGTCACCCTGTCATTTGAGTATGATTGGCACAGCGGCTGTATGAATGGGGACACCCGGGATTCCTGCCACAAGGATCTGTAGGTTCCTGCTGCAGGAATCCCACAATGCAGCCTAAAGCCCCGTGTGACTTGGGCTTTAGCCTATAAAACGGTATTACCACTGAATAGGTTACATTTAAAAGCAAAAACATAATGTAAATTGGTGTCTTCACTTAATGAGCACTCTACAAAGGCTCTAGTGTTAGCTGATGTTCTGTTACTCCCTCTGTCTGTGGCTCACAGACTGGAGACTAAATTGCACACATCTCCAGTCTGTTTGTGACTGAGGCTGCCCCCCTCACACAGAGGAAGACTATGATGAGGATGTTCCACCGGGCGAGGAGGGCGAGGAAGATGATGAAGAAGAGGAAGGAGAAGAGGAGGAAGTGAGCGGCGAGGAGGAGGTACAGCTTTTGAACTTTTACATTTGTTTGTTATTGGCTGGAAAGAGTAACATAGGTGTGTAGATATTTCTTTGCAGTGGTATTAATGAGATTTGTTTTGTAGTGGGACAAATTCACTTTGCTTCATAGTATTGGCATAGTTGGACATGCTAGCATGGAGGTCATTCCGCCAGATTACCGTAAAAGTTCAGGTCCCTGGTATCCAACCAAAATTGAAATATATTTGTGTAAACTTTAAAGCAGACCTTTCCCCTAAAAAAACAAAATACACAGATGCATGCATCTCTGCACGCTGACCTGCCTATGGAAAATGAAGGCATTCTTTGTGAATGTACCTTTTTTATATATTCTACTTCCTCGTTTTCTTAGGTGCTGGTGACGGCAGTGCATTCCAGGTGCGCGCTGTGAAGGCTTTGTCACCGGTGCCTTTTATTGCGTAAACTATGAGATCTGAAAAGATCTGGAGGGAATGGTTCAGAGGAAAGGAGATCTCTTGGAAGGTGAGATCTGGTACCGACGTCATTGGTGGGCCAGCACAGAAAACAGAAGAGGAAGCCAATTACGTTTTTGTAAAAAAAAAAAAGATGGCGGAGTGGGATGCGGAACACAGGCAGGAAGGAACAATGGGATTGTGGAAAAATAACAAGAAAGAAGTGTGTCACACTGGATAAGTCTGCTGGTTTTGCTAAATAAATGTAATCAGAGTTGGGGGTTTTTTTTAAGGGAAAGGTCTTTTTTTTTTATCTGCGTTCGTTACCAAAGTGTAGAGTACAGATAAATCATTTGGGGGGTTGCACAATAAAAATTATAGTTACAATAGTCAATAAGGTGAAAAAAAGATTCACATCCATCAAATCCACCCATCTCATCATAAACCTGTAAGTAAATACCAACTTTCTTTACCCTGTACCACCTACAATTCTTTCATATTGAGATTTTTTTTTGCCTTCATCTAGAATATTGAAAGGAATAAGGAAAATCCTTATGATGTTCCATAGTCCATTATTTCAGAATAACACAAAATGGCCAGTATAACTTCATAAATGAGGATAGCTTTTCTAGCTTCTTCAGAATGAGCTCTATAGCATGCACCTTGTTTCCATTATTTGTTATATTTCACACATTGTGAATTGTAGCAGCTTTGTTGATATTTTATGGGGAGCCCTCAGAGGTTAATCTGTGTTGGAGAAGCACATAAGTCCAGCATTAATCTGCTTTTTGTTTTAAAGGAGGATGAGGAGGCTAACAGCAAAGGGGAGGAGGAAGAAGCCGATGAGGATGGTATGTGATCAGTGCTCCCTATGCAGATGGCTTACGTTTGCAGTTTATAAGGCCAAAAGAAGGAATTTGCATCTTCAGCATAAACCTTCTCAGTATGTTGCTGCTGTTCATGGAATTTACAGGTGCCGGGTCGTGTCATCTGTTGCTGACCTAAACCTAACGACAAATCGACCATTAGAAGTAAATTTCTTCCCTTAAAGTGTAGCTCCACCATCGTGTCAGTTTTCAAAGATTGCTTGCTGTATAAATGCTTGACGCATAAGTGGCTCTTTTCCTCCATTTCTTGGGAGGACAACAATTCACATAATGTGATTAAATATATCAGGGCTGGACAAGTATTTGACTGGGTGGGCTGCACTGAGGGGGTGGGGGGATTATAGGCTCCATTTTAAAGTCAGCATGTTTGAGACATAAGGTTCGCCATACACTGCTCTATTTTTCTCATTCAACCTGTGGGCTGAACGAAAAAAATCGAGCAGATTCCTTAATCAACACTACGAGTGTGTCGATCAAGGAATCCCCACTGTTTACATTGCATTCTGAAAGCAGCCACCAATAACCAAACAGAGTCGGCAGCTCATTGGCTGACCGCTCTGTTCGTACGAAGATTTTCCGACCGGCTCCTTCGATCAGTTGATTGAGGGATGCCCTGCCGAAAGGGTGCCAACATCGTTTCAGTTGACCATCACTTCAGTACAGGATGGATTCTGATGGTGGCTTTGGGGACTACACTTAAGAATAGGCATCTTGATTCTTACACTGTGTTATATAGTTACCCACAGGTGTATAATACATAATTATTGGTGGAATCATTCTACAAAGATTTTCTTAAGATTTTTCTTGTCAGTCACAAGATGTGCAACCAAAGGAGAGATGCAGGAAATGTAAAAACCTTTAGACTCCCTACATACAACCAGATTCATTTAAAGGACCATTAGTGCATTTTTAAATAAAATGCACAAATACTTTCTGTCCCCCTGCCCCTGACCTTACTGTGATTTCTAGTTTGTGTTCACATCCAACAACAAAAGTCTCTACTGTCCTGGTCGCACCTGCACATTCCAGCCCCTGGACTGCTATGGGATTTTATATGAGTGTCTCCAGCTGAGGGACATGGTCCCATAGAAGTCTTTGGGGCGCTACAACGTGGGTGCAGACAGTGAAGACTTTTGATCCTGGAAGTAAACAAACAGCCAAGCCACAGCCATGAAATTGAGGCAAGTATGCATCTGTGGAATGGGGAGGGTGGGATAGGTTAGGTCAGGGCTAGCGGGCAAAAAAGATAAGTGCATTTTGTTCTAAAATGCACTTGTCCATTAAAATGTTAACACCCTGGATTAATTTACATGGAGGTATGTTATATATATAAGAAGAAAATGTACCCAAGTGAAGCACCTGTGATTTTTTGTTTTATTTTCGGGGTATAAACATTTACAGGGTTATTCACAAAAGGGTGAAGAGTTTGGAGAAGGCAGGAGAAGTGAACAATCTAGGACAGCGGTGGCGAACCTATGGCACGCGTGCCAGAGTGGGCACGTGGGGCCCCCTCTGCTGGCACGCGAGCCCAGGTCCGCATTATCAAAGGGACACAGCGATAGCGGTCCCAGTCCAATTAGTAGTTAGTAGTTCCCTCTCTCTCCCGCTGAACTGACAGCAGAAGAGAGGGGACTATTTTACCATTTTCGGCTGCCACGGAGTAACACCGAGAGTGAGAGCCCATACAGACCACCTCAGAACTGCAGAGCCCCCCTGAGAGTATTCAGGTCTAATTGAAGGGTTGGCACTTTGAGATACATAAGTTGGTTTAGTGATCCAGTTTGGGCACCCGGGCTCAAAAAGGTTCGCCATCACTGATCTAGGACAACATAGATAAACTGGAAAGTGAGTTGAATTGGAGAATTTTTCCAGTTCAGTTATGTTGTCCTAGATTGTTCACTTCTCCAAACTCTTCACCCTTTGTGAATAACCCTGTTAGTGTTCCTTCAATATTGTGCTGTTACTAATCCTTTAAACTTTGAGTTATGCCTGCTATTTCCATAAACCCCTCTGCAGTTTTTTCTGTAAGTATTGCCTGCAAATGAAAGTTAATATCTTTCTTTTATGTGTAATCAGGAAAGGGAGAAAAGAGAAAACGGGACCTTGAGGACGATGGAGAAGAGGAGGACTGAGCAGCCATTAGAAAAGGACAAAACACAGGAGGAATGAGCCTCGTCACTTAGTGGAGAACTGAACCCCAAGACCCAATCTGAAAATTCTGTTGTAATTTGTTTTACTTTCATTGACCCTGCTCCTTTTATTTCCTGGTTATAAGGTTGCTGTGTGCTGAACAGACACCAAGCAAGGAGAATCAAGCTTTGTATTTCTATTACTGCTCTTCAGTTTTTTAAAATAGTTTTTTAAAGGTAAAGTTTGTGTTTTGCACAGATCCCTTACAATCCAAGACATGCAGTCTTTCTAAATCCCATTTCTAATGTATCTGTTTTTTTGGATGTGGTTTGACTTTGGTTACCCTTTTAATGATCGTAAGGAAAGTCTTAAGCAGAAATTAGTGTTAACCCTTTCCTGCAGTGTCTGGCTGGTTAGCAGCTTAAGGGTTAATCGGCCATAAAAGCCAGGCAATTTGGTAGAAGAGCATGATACAGTGATTGTACCACCTCTCTGTCTCCTCTTAACTGAACACCAGCATCTCATCCCATGTGGAGTTGGTAGCTGAACATAATAATCCAGTTATTAGAAATACAATTCTCAAATCCTATTTAGAATGTTAGATGTGTGCAGACAATTATGAGGCTGTTGTATTATTATAATATGTGGGCAAAATGTGTAATAATATCATGGGTACCAAGAGATTCCAATCAGCGGGTGATATGTGAGCAGATATAAAGGATTGTTGTAGTTAGAGCTATGGAATTGGTTTTTTGACTTTACATAAGAAAATCAGGTGCACTTTTTTTGGTGTGCATCAAGAAGATTGATGTAATGGGGGTTGGCTAGTACATCCTATACAGTGATCTGTGTTCATACACCTCTAGATACATACATAGAAAGCAGTGTGGTGGAGTAGCTAGTGAACCCACAGGACCAGTTAGTAAATAAGGATCATGTAGCTAGGCCGGTAGAGTCCCTTGCATTTTAGAAAAATAAGTGAGTGATGATTTTCTTTCTTTTAATTTGGTTTCCTTTAGTTACATGTTGTTTGTTGTTGTCGTTAAGCAATTTAATTAAAAGGCAGAATAAGTATTTCTGTAATGCTCTCATTATAGATGTGCTAATTAATCTCAATCTGATTTGATCATTTACCATCTGGCTTTTCTTTTTTGTAATCAGGCAAATAGCAAAGTGTGGTAGCATACACCAACCAATTGGAATTCATCTTCTAATGAACAGAGTTTAGCAAATAGAAATCTGATTGGTTTCTAATGGTTACTACATTAGGACCGCTCTTTGCACTGCTTCAATGAACAGGTCTGCGCTTAGTACTATTACAGGGTTTAGTGGAATCAGTGCAATCTAAAATAAGAATTCTACTGGGAGAATGTAGCATGTCCTCGCTGACCTTGTAACATAGCAAAGTCTTTATGCAGACCTAATGCATCAATGTTTTAGGGAATTACTACAACACTGGAACCTCAAATCCTGATTGGGTATCCCAGAATGAGCTGTGCTGTGATGACATAAGGATGAGGTTTGTAAGGGGTAGATATGACACAGGTATAGCAGGATAAGAGAGCAATGGTGGTAGAGGAAACAAGCTCTTTCAGTCTGTCATATTACTGGCACATTAGTTTTATAGTAAAGCGGATTGTTTATATAACTGATTACAAACACTTTATACTAAATATTATAGTAGAAAAAATGAGTGGTCAGTGTGTATCCAACATACTGGGAATATTGTACCCTCTAGAGCAAATATGAGGTACCAGGTAGTTTGTTTACACCTGGGAAAGTCATCCTCTTACACATCCCACTAACATGCTGCATGTTCATTACACTTTTGTTTTGTTTTGCTCCAGCACAGTATTCATCTTATCATGTATCTGTCACAGCTCAGAGAGGTTCTGTTACTGTGGTTTGGGAGTCTTTCAGTTTCCAGCACTAATCTCATCTGATTTCTTACTTAGGAGTGACTGCCCTGTCTGTACTACGAATCACTAGTAGTCGGCTGGGGATTCTTTTTTTCCCAGGAAACCCAAACACTGCAATTTCTGTCTATTTGTCATTGGTAAATTTCAATAAACTTGTTTTTTTACAGAGTTTTCATGATGTAATCATATTTGTCATGTGTTCTTTTCAGTGCACTTTGGTCAAAAGCATTCCAATAAGTTCCTGCACACTCTTATGATCTACTATAGGTCTGTGGAAGGGCTATAACATGCAGTTACCAAAATCCACTCTGAAAGAGTTTTAAAGAGACACTGTCACCTTGCCCATGCAGGCCAAATTGACTATGTCTCTGCAAAGGGCTCCCCCAACCCCATTATTCTCGCCTTACCTGCGCTCTTGTGATGACCCTACTTCCTCCACAGGTAATAGCGTCTCTTTAACGCAAAGTAGAGCTTTTACAATGAGCTTGATTGCATTACCAGATTAAGGTCCCATTCACACCGGGCTTAAGGCTGCAGCTAGGGATTCCTTCTACAAAAGACTAACAGATTCATATGGCAGGAGTCCCAGGTGTGTCCATACACATGCTGCTGATGTGCCCGTTCAAGTTAATGACAGGCTAACATCGGCTGAATCTGTGAGTGGTTCTGTGCATGTAATTGTACATGGAACGATAACCTACGGTTGGGTATATATGATTGTCCCTGGATGCAGACAGATTGTGTCCGGGGACAATCATCTATCCCAAACCGCAGGGAAATCTTCCATGTACGATAGTAAGAATGTGCAAATCATTCAGATTTTCATACCAACGAGTGGAGAGGGTCTGGGCTTTGGCTCAGTCTGTGTCTGGTTCTTGAACCACAGTATTTAGAGCTGTCTGGCTTTCTTTATCAGACAGCTGACGTGGTGCCTGCCTTGAGTCCATTATGTTCTAATGCAGGTGGTGTGTAGTGTTTCTGGAGGCCAGTTTAGCACTTTTCTAAGCTGAGTGATGGATTTATATTGCAGACCTTTACTGAGAAAGAAGACTTGGAGAGTTATTCACAAAGGATATAGCCATAGCTTTGGCTCACTTCAGCCGTTGGAGCTCTTCGGTTCAGTCGAACCAAAGGGCTGCTGTACGGGCTATTCATAATAGCCGAACGTGTTCTTCACTTTGGCTCAGCTGAACATACCGAAGGGAGCTGAAGCCAGCCGATGTATGGCTGGAGTGAATAGCTGAATGGGGTTCAGCTCCCTTCACTTTGGCTCGGTATTCACTCGGCTGCCTCTGGCAGCTTACTAAATAACCCCCTTTAGACATCTTCTCTTTCTCCAAATGTTAATCCTTTCAGGTCTATAAAGGAAGGTGATAAGTGACTCATCAGACATCACAAGTAAAGGTTTTCCTAAGTGACAGTTACAAGCACAGCTACAAGGATGAATCATGATAGGTTAATTGCCATTTAGCAGTGTCTTATCTACAAAAGAGATGTTTCATTTAGTATATGGATATGATTTTTCAAAGCAATGTCATTTATTGTATGAAAAGGAACTGTCTTAACACTGATGCCAAATGGAACAAAGTACGTCAGCAAATAGGAAAAATAGTCACGAATCAAAGCCTACTTACAGGGCTAGGGGAACAGTTAGCTGGATATTAACTGCCATAAAAGTACAGCCTCCAGGATTAGTACATAATTATTCAGTACTTCTTTGACCCAGTGTCAACATAAACTGTACTTTGTGAGCTTTATAGAGATGCCTGTATCCAATGCCAGTACATGGACAAGTCGTCACATGAGCAATTGCTGGAGCCCCACTGTAGAAAATTGCATTTTCATGGCACCTTTAACCACTTCAAGACCAGGTGTTTAGACCCCCTTCCTGGCCAGGCCATTTTTCAGTATTCAGCGCTGCGATACTTTGACTGACGTTTATTCCGTCATGCAACGCTGTACTGCAATGAATTTTATACCATTGTTTGGGGACAGATAGAGCTTTCTTTTGGTGGTATTTAATCACCACTACGGGTTTTATTTTTTATTATAATTAGGAAAAATTATTGAAAATTTTGAAAAAAAAAACGTTTTTTGTAACATTATGTTAGGAAACATTTATTATTACCCAGTTTTTTGGTCAAATATAAAAGATCAGGTCACGTCGGTTAAATAGACACCAAACATGTCAAGCTTTAAAATTGCGCGCACCCGCGACATCGCAGAAAACGACGGCAACCAAAATTGGCCATAGGCGACACTTTAAACGTTTTTACCGCTCATCAGTTTAGTGTTATCAGTGATTGATGGACCTAAACTTATTGCTCTCACTGCGACGTTCGCGGCGATATGTAACATGTGCGGCGTAATGGGCGCAATCGTCTTTTTTGCACGTATGCGCCCCCGACGCATGTTTGCATGCGTGTATGTATGGGTGGGGACTTTAAAACATTTTTTTTTTCTTTAATTATTTTTTATGTGTAACTTAAATTTTTTTTGGGGGGGGGACTTAAATTTTTTTTTTTTTTTTTTTTTCACTAAACTTTATCGCTATCACATACGGGGGCTAATAAAACCCCCGTATGTGATAGCAAAATATGTGACAGGTCCTCTTTATGGAGACATCAGGGGTCTCCAAGACCCCTAATGTCACCTAGGACCCCCCAAAAGAAGCTGATGAAGCAGAGATCTGCTCCATCAGCTTCTTTGCAGCTTCTGAAGCTGGAGAGTGACACAAGAATGCGGAAGTGATGTATTATACAACACTTCCGCATTCTTTCAGAGGAGAGGGGACCGGAGAGAGCTCGTGTACCGAGCTCTCTCTGATCCCCGTGACACAGCCGACATGCTGATCCCGGGCTCGCACCGGGCACAGCGGAGCTCGGGATCAGCGGGACAACAGCGGGGGGGACCGCGGAGGGGGGGGGGACACCCGATCGGCACCCCATACATGCGATCGGCCGGCTCTACAGCCGGCGGATCGCATGTATATTAACGGGCATCGCTGCCCGTTTTTAAATACCGGCCATTTCCCGCTCGCGTGTCTGAGCGGACGTCTAGAGACGCCCGCTCAGATCGAGAGAGCTCCTGGCCGGCCGTTTTTTTACTACGGCCGGCCCGGAGGTAGTTAAAGGAGAACTATGAGGTGAGTGCTTTTCACTCACCTCATAGTTCTAGCCGACCTGTGACAATGAGACTGTCACAGGTCGGCTCAGTAGATCGAGAAGTGATCGAACACATACCGGCGTTCGCTCACCTCTCGATCCTGCCACAGCTCTCTGCCGTGACGGGAGGGGCTGGATTCCCCCCGATCCGCCAGCGCTGACTGCCGGGAGGAGGTGGTACAGCTGGCTCTGCCTCTAGATAGTCAGAACTTCCCAAAGTTTGTGTGGGGGGTGGAAAGACAAGTTTGTGTCCCGGTCCAGGGATCTGCCAGCATTCATGATGGATGCTCTGGTGGCTCATTGGGATCAGTTCTCTCTGATCTACTCCTTCCCTTCCTTGAAAATCCTTGCTTTGCAGGACTGATGTGAAGGGCATTCTGGTGATGCTCGTGGTTCCCAACTGGCCCAGATGGATGTGATATCCCTGTGGCCGCTTCCAGACCTTCTGTCTCAACTTCCAGTACTCCATCCTGCTTCTTGGTTATTGGCATTGACAGCTTGGCTGTCGACGCTCAGGTCCTGAGGAAAAGGGGTCTGTCTGATGCAAAAAGTCCATCTCTCTTCCATTGCTCACCCCACGTATGCGAGGACTTTTCTCTCCCGTTCATTGAAGGACACAGGGAACAGATCGGAGATCATGTACTGTAGGGTAATATCGCCACCTGCAGGAGAAGGACGCTAGGCACAAAAAAACTAAAGACCAATTACAGCCTAGGGGCGGCCCCTGCCGGTGGCCAAACCCCCCACCTACTGAGAAGTCTCCAGTTTTTTGCCTAGCGTCAGGAGTAAGGAGCTAAGAATTTTCCTCGGTATTCTTACCTGCTTCTTCCTGATTTTTTTCAGAGGATTCTTCTTGCAAGTGTTGTCCGGGCGACAGGCTGGATGTCTTGGATCCTTGGAGTCTCCCCTGGATAACCAGCGAGCGTATGCAGACCCGCTACGGTGGGTCGGCTACGACGGCCCCGCTCCGGCGGGGTGGCCTGTGGGTTCGTCCCAGGGGGGTGCATATGACTGGGGGTCTCGGCCGTCCAGTCACAGCACTTCCCTCAGGCTGCTGGCGCCGCGACTGCGGTCGGGGGCGCCAGTTCTCCGCACAGCACCTGTGGCGTTTGTCCTGATGTCCCCTGCGCTGCTGTCGGTCTGGAGGGGGGTGCCTGGTCCGCACCCTCCTGGGTATGTATGAGATGGGCCTGGATGCTTTGGCTCCACATGCTCCCCCCTCCCCCCCCCTCCTCCCCCCTCCCCTCCTCCTCCGTCCTCCGTCGCCTGTCTGTCGGGGTGTGTGGCCCTGGGGGTCCTTGCCTGGGTCCTCGGCGTCAGGGGGCGGCCTGCGGGTGTTCCGGAGGTGTTTTTGGGGTCGGGCTGCGGTCCTGGTGCTGGCGGAGGCTTGGGGCCTCCGGCGCTGCTGGCCGCTCGGTTCCGTTCGCGGGGGCCGCTAATCGAGCCCCCGGCTTCGTTTGCGGCCTTCTCGGAGGCCGCGGCCGCCATCTTTGGTATGGGCGAGTGCGCCCTCGGCCTGACGTCACTTCCGGTGCGCCGCTTCCGGGTCCCTTTACTTGCGCGTCACCCGGCCGGATCGGTCTTTCACGCCGGGACGCGGT